CGGTTCTTCCCCACAGTCGGCCTGGTCCTCCAACCAGGTGCCCCTCACAATGGCTGAGGTTCTGAGCAGCTACCCTGTGTCCCACAGCATTCTCGCCAATGGTGGCTACCAACGAGCCAGAGACTCCAGTTCCTTTGCCAAATACTCCCAGGATGCTTTTGAACATGGTGCTGATACCCAATCCAAGACTGGGTCTAAAGGACAGAAGTTCTATTGAGGTGACCTGAACTGATATCTGTAGCATTGAGAATCCTATGGAGCAACTTAATCAAGAACCAAGATGGCCGCTGGCTAGGAGGGAGTGTGTGGATCTGTCCTGCATTTAAGTGAAATCTATTGAATATCTGAAATATAACTCAACATCCAAGCAAATGTTGAAGTTTTGTACTTTGATATTCAACCAATGTTTGGACTTGTAGGGCTATTTCTGCCATTTTTTTTATCAATGTTAAGCACTTTTTACTACATGTGCTTGAACAACCAACAAAGGCCTCGTTAACTACCAGGATTCTCAACAGCTGGCAAGTAGCAAAATGGCTCCAAGTTTAACAAAAGATATGGAAGAACTTAAGCTGTCATTGAATGTTATGTCAGAAGAACTGAGTAAGGTGGTGAAGCAACAAACAAGCCTGATGCGTTTGATTGGAGAAATTCAACAACTGAAAGTAATTATTAAAGAAAAGGATGAGAAGATAGAAGAGTTGGAAAAAAGAGTGGAGGACCTGGAACAGTCTGCAAGAAAGGAGGATGTGGTGATATCTGGACTCAAAACAACACACCTTACATATGCAAGGGCAACAGCAGAAGACAATAAAGGGGAAGATGCACCACCAGATGAACTACTTTCTGTTGAGCAGCAAGTCATCAAGTTCTTCAGCAGCAAAGGGATTTTGCTGGACAGTAAAACCATTGCTGCTTGTTATACAATCCCCTACAAACCAAACACAAACATGGATAAAAGGAAAAAAAGACCAAATATCATCCTCCGGTTTGTGAGTACAAAACACAAAATTGAATTGCTAAAAGATGTAATAAAACTAATGGGAACAAATGTGTTTGTGAATGAACATCTCACAAAGAAGAATGCAGAGATTGCTTACCAAGCTAGGAAGTTGAAGAAGGAGAAAAAAATACAGGCAACATGGACTAGGAATTGTAAGATACTGATTAAACTTAATGGTTCTCCTGAGCAAGCTAAGGTTCTAACTATTAAAAATGTTGTGGAGCTGGAGAAATATAGGTGAACAGAACAGTTTTGACTTGGTACTGCTGGGGCTACAGTTTTTATGTTTTTTTGCTTTTCTGGTTTTGAACAGATTGATGAAGTGAAGAATATATTATTTAGTCATGAGTCAAAGAATGGAATTTAAGTGTTTTGATCCTACAGAACATAAATTTTATGATATAGAAACTGATATAGACCCAGAATCCAACTTCAGTTATAATACTAAACAGCATTGTGAATATTACTCTGAAGACAGTATAAATGTGGGGCTAGGGGGCTTTTCAATAATTCATTTTAATAGTAGGAGTATGTATAGTAATTTCTCTCAGATAAAAAGCTACCTGGAAAAATTTGATGAGAAATTTAGTGTGGTAGCAATTTCAGAAACCTGGATTACTGAGGAAAAAAGTCTGCTGGATAGTTTAGATGGATATCAAATGTTTAGTCAGAATAGGTTAAACAAGAGGGGAGGTGGTGTCGCACTGTTTGTAAGGTCTGGATTGACATGTACGGTTATTGCTAAAATGACATTTTCAGTTGATAACTTGATGGAATGTTTATCTGTCAAAATTGAGGGTAATAGACCTGGCCATATGTTAATTAGTTGTGTTTATCGAACTCCTGGCTCATCTATAGATGAGTTTAGTAAGAAAGTATTAGAGACATATGAAGGGCTCAATGAAAAATTTACTTTTATTTGTGGAGATTTTAACATTGATTTGTTGAAATATAATGAGCATACTAATACGACAGAATTTATAAATACAATGTTTGGTTTAGGGTTTTATCCGTTGATCCTAAAACCTACACGAATAACTAAAGACAGTGCGTCATTGATTGATAACATTTTTATAAATAAGTTCAATGTGAAAACAAAAAGTGGATTGTTAGTCACTGACATAACTGATCATTTGCCTGTGTTCACTATGCTTGATATTAGTAATCAGTTCAATTTAAATATGACAAAGCAAATTATCAATTTAGTTAGAGTAAAATCACCTGAAGCTGTGGAAGAAATGAAAGTAGAATCTTTAAATTATAACTGGCAAAATGTTTATGTTGATGATGTTAATGAGTCATATAATATGTTTTTGGAAATATTTATGAAAATTTACAATCATTATTGTCCCCTTAAAGAATATAAACAAACATCCAAAAATAGATTGACTCCCTGGATGACAAAGAGTTTGGAGAAGGCATGTAAAAAGAAAAACAAGTTATATAAGGATTTCATTAAGTGCCCAACTCATGAAAAAGAAGGAAAATATAAAGTATATAAAAATAAGTTAACATCAGTGCTGAGAAAGCAAAAGCAGGATTATTATGATAGGTTGTTGCAAAAATATTGCAATGATATTAAGGGTACATGGAATACAATTAATAGTATTAAAAACAATAAAGATAGAGATTTCTCAATAAGTATTAAACACAACAACACAATAGTGGAAAAAAAGGAGGATATTGTTGAAGTCTTTAATAAGTACTTTGTTAATATCGGTCCTAATTTAGTAAGCAAATTGCCAATGGGTAGAGATGGAAAACATAATTATAAATTTAATAATATTAATACAATGTTCCTGGGAGAAGTGAGTGAAAGTGAGGTAATAGATGTAGTTAAAAAATTTAAAAATAAGAAATCCAAAGATTGTAATGATATTGACATGGCTGTTGTGAAAGAGGTCATTTATAGTATTACTAAACCTCTCACCTACATTTGTAATAGATCATTCTTAACTGGAACCTTTCCTGACAAAATGAAGATAGCAAAGGTTTTTCCAGTTCATAAAAGTGGAGACAAGCAAATATTAACAAATTACAGGCCGATATCATTGCTACCACAATTTTCAAAAATTTTGGAAAAATTATTTATGAAAAGACTGGATTCCTTTCTTAATAAAAATAATATATTGAACGAGCACCAGTACGGCTTCAGGCACAACTGCTCCACAACTTTAGCTGTGATGGAGTTTGTGGAGCACATTGCAGCAGCAGTTGATCAGAAGCTTAATACCGTAGGTGTGTTTATTGACCTATGCAAGGCTTTTGATACTATTGACCACGCAAGACTATTGGGTAAATGTGAACTGTATGGCTTACGGGGAGTTGCATATCAGTGGTTAAAGAGTTAAAGAGTTCCAGCAGGGCCAGAAACATCCTGAGGGACACCACCCACCCCGGCTTCCATTTCTTCAACCTGTTGCCCTCAGGCAGGCGCTTCAGGTCAATACGGACCAGGACAAACAGACTCAGGGAGAGCTGCTTCTCTTAAAGCTGTCACCATATTCAACCTACATTCAGACTTGCACTAATGTGACAACATTTGTCACCAGCAGAGATCACTTTCCAGAGTTACTAGAAATCAGTGGTGGGCCGTCAGGGCCTGCAAGGCCTTCTCTGCAGGCCTAAGAAAATATCTGAATCACAGACTGATGTTGATTATATTTTGTCCATGGAAACTTACTAAATATCTCTAAATAGTCTGTTTGCTTCCTTTCATAGCTTTTCCCCTGGTTGCTGCTTCCAGACATGCATTTTCATATAAAAGCATTTAACCAATCACATTTCAGCCATAATTTGTCGCTAGGCAGGGTCAGAGTCAAAGATGTCTGCCAGGAGGCCTTCACAATCCGTTCTGCAGCCCCGATTCCACACGAGCATTAGCATTAGCATCTGTAACCCACAGGTCTGTGTCCTAAACATTAAGTTGTTATAAGAGTAAATCCGTGTTCAACATGCGTCTGACAACTAAATAAGTAGATAAATAACTTTAAACTTTAATACAATAAACTGGATAGGGACATCCCTACTGCATTTCTACATAATAAAATGATTTATATAACCATATAATAGTTATTGAGGGGTGAATTGATTCAGACGGAGCACTACTGAAGGCCTAGGTGTGAAATGCACAGTCCGCCACTGCTAGAAATGATGGTAAATACAGAAAGTAAGTATTTATTGAATCAAAGTGACAAAACAAACAGCTGACAGCTAAACACTCCCTGTTTGGTTTTCATGCACCACCAATTCTCAAAATAACACATCTCACATGTGGATAAAAAAAGAAAGTAAATGCATTTGAATTGGGCCATAAAGTAAGAAAATCAAAATAATGAAACCGCCTCCACACTTTTCTGCTTTATGAGTAATCTGTGGGAGAGAAGTTAGTGGTTGAGTGGATAATCTGGGCTGGGATCCTTTGTGCATTTCTGCCTGTACAGTCTCAGATTGGAACTTATTCGTGTTGGCCATGTTGTTGTTGTTTTTTTTTAAAGATTGGAAGCTTTAAATGCACAATTCAAATACAGCAGTGTGTTTTTGAGGTTTCAGCCTCAGAATGGACTTTCCAGCAGTTTCTGAGCAACTTTCTCAGCTGATTGTGAGTCTTTTCAGTTCATTTCGTCAGCCTGGGGCTCAGCAAGTACGAGATGGAGCTGCAGCATTTCTCAGCCCAATGAACTTTTTGTGGCCACATTTGAAGTTGTGTAAAAGTCCCCGAGTGGCTATAGAGCCCCACCAGCCTCCATTGTCCGGGGTTTGGGCCCCTCACCACAGCTTCAGCTCTCTGGAAAGGCGGGGGTCCACCTCCCTGAGAGCCTCTATCAGAGTTTTGCTGCTTTCATGTCCCTTCCTCATCACAGTATCAATCACATCTCGAGCTTTCTCTGCTCTGAGCTTCGTCTTTGCTGTCTGCATCTCCTCATCAATCATAACACCGTGCTGAAAGAGTTTATCCAGCAGCTGGTTCAGCACAGAATCAGAGACTCCATTAATGAACTGCAACCGGACAGCAGACAGTCTGTCCTTTGCTTGGAGTCCTGGGAGATCCCTCTGTGAAGACTCCCCTCTGGGAGCTTAAAGGAAAGCAGAGAAATGAACAATCAAATGCTGGTTTCTGCATTAATGTTGGCACAAGGCAGCGGTGGCAGCTGGGTAGGGTTAGGGTTAGAGTAAGGGTTAGGGTTAGGTCCATGGAGCTGGAGCTCCATGACAGCAAAGCTCACCAGAAATGGAGAACAAACAAAGGCTCCACCTTTAAATGGATAATAAACATGAGGACTTTACCAGCCAGGTCCACTTCCCGATTCCAGACCTCCCTGTTTTCTCGGTCGCTGATGGTTACCGTCACTTCTCTGATGCTTAAGGGGAGACGGATCTCAAATGTGGAGTGGTAGTTCCTTCCATAATCTGGGTCGAAGTCTTCCCTCTAAAAAGTTCATCTCAGGATCAGTCTGGCTCCCTGAGAGCAGCCCTAGCCCTGGATGGACCTGCAGACAGGCTCCGTCCAGCCTGAGGCAGGAGGACCAACACCATCTAATGCCTGACACCTGGACACCTATCTGCCCACTCACATACACACTTCACCCCCCAGAGTCACTGCCTCCTCCTTTGTTTCTGTCTGCATCTGGGCTTATTTGTGGATGGGTTTATTTTAAATCCCCTCATTATAAAGCATGTGTGCAGCAGGCCTTTTTAACCCCCTCCTCTCCAGATGTGGTTTTTGTCCTGTATCTGGGTTTGAGTTGCTGCTGGGGCTGTGTGTTCATCTTATGGACCAGCTGTGTCTGATGCCTGATCTTGGGATGGGTTATACTGAAACTGAAATTGCCCCTCAGGCCATCAGTACGTTTTATCTTCTACCTCTTCACCTGTCGCAGCACTGATGCCTTCAGGGACACTCACCTCAGGTTGGATTTTATAGGCTCCTGGGCAGTGGACGGTGTAGGTCCAGTCTTTGATCAGCTTACAGTTTGAAGGCGTCTTGATGTACTCAGAACGTGGATGCTGAGAGCACACCTGAGGAAACATCACATTTTAGTGTAATCCCTCTGTGTCCCGTTCAGCAGGACTGAGCTCAGACTGGACCTGGATCCTGATGTCTGAGGGGCGGGGGATCTTTGGAGGAGGAATAAAACTGTCATGGGTGTTTTGTCACGTTTCCTGTTCTCTTTTGTAGTCCTTCCTGTCTGGTCCCAGTGTGGCTTTCCCTCCTGCTCTCTGTTGATTTCCTGACTCCTCCCTGATCACCTCCACCTGTGTTTCATTGTTTCCTCTCTGTCTGGTGTACATATTCCCCAGTCGGTCTGTTGTTAGTTGCGTGTTCGTACTTGTCTTTTTGTCAGTCGTCCAAACTTTTTCTTAGTCTCATCTTGCCTCGTATTCCTGACCTTTGCCTGCCTGTTCTTGACCACCGTTTTTGCCTGCCGTTTTTGTACATTTGCCTGATAATTTTTGCCTACCCGTGTACCGACCATTTTCCGGTTAAACGACTGTGATTCTCATTCCCTTGCCAGGAGTTGTGCATTTGGGTCCTGGTGTTGCCCTCGTGATAAAAACTATACTTGTGTTAATCGGCTCTCCAGCAGATCTGTGTTTTCTGCTCTATGTGTTCAATTAGAAGCTTCTTGAATCCTTTACCTCCTCCACGGGGATGTTGCTGGGCAGCAGAATCACGTCCAGGCTTTTTTTCTGCGTTTCCACGTTTGGAGGTCGAAGGAGGAGCAGAACCTGGCCCCTAATGCTCAAGAACCTCCCCACAAGGTCCCAGACGAGGCCAAAGAGAGAGAGATGAGGGACTTCCACAATCACATGAGTGTGTGTGATCTCCAGCGGCGTGAGGAGGCTCAGTCCATCATCAGAGATGTGGATGACGGACAGCCGCTCCTCAGAGAGCAGAGCTGTGGAAACAGGCCAATGCAACCTCTGTCAGACTGGTTTCCTCTAATGAAAAGGGCTGAGAACCTGTCAGAATCAGGTGAGAAGGTGCACAACAACATCTAAAACCTACAGGACAGCAGCACAAAGACGCTCCTGCTCTAGATGACGTCAAAGAGGAAGAACATGGTTCAAACAATAGAATTACGCATAAAGAGCTCTAGTTTGACATGATTTCCTTTAGTTTGAACGTTTTTAAACCACCAGAGGACGATCTATTCCAACAGCTGAGTTTTAATGGTCTTTTTTTCTGGGTGACTGTACTGACGCCTGCAGCCAGCAGGGGGCAGAGGTGGGACACAGGCTTAAGGCTCACCGTCTTCTAGCTCACAGTGAGGAAGGTGGAGCTGACACATGGCATGATCGGGACACTGGATGTTGAACAGCGGCCCTGCAGGCGTCCTGCCGGCCGACTGGAGCAGTGTCTCGTCCCATTGGACGGTCCTGTACAGAAGCTCCGCCTCCTGAACCATGACAAAAACCAGCCCAGTGAGAGCACACTGGAACTGACCCGAAGAAGGACATCTGAATCTGTAAAGGACACACAAAGGCTGGGTGACCACAACAAACCTTACGGTATAAAGAGAAGAGAGGCAGAAACTGCAGGCAGGAAAACAGCATCAAAACATCAGGAAAAAAACTGCATTAAAAAATCAGGAAAAGAACAGGCAACCAAAAAAAACGGGGAAAAAACAGGAAAGAAACAGAAAAGCTGCAGGAAAAAACAAGTAATTTGATGTAATTTTCAGCTGTAACTGTTGTGAGCTGTCATTAGTAATTCAGTGGACATTTAATGAGTTACAATGAGGCAGAAACCTGTTTCAGAGTAAAGAACGTCTCCTCTAACATGATTTCCTGCTCTTAACCTGTTTATTTAAGGAAAAGTGGGTGTTTTTTTAAATATTCACCTGTATGAAACACCTGTGGAGTTACTCTGCACATCTGGCATGAAGCATGTGGGGGCCTTGAATTCACAAAGAAAACCATTTTAATGCCAATCATCATCATTTTGTGTCCAAACAAATATTGGCTCCATCTTAAAGTCAGCTGGAGCCTTTTGGGCACCGTTTTACATCCTGTTTTACTCCCAGTTAGTAGACAGTAAACAGAAAGGTGACTGGCTTTGAGGCTTCTCTCAGCTGGAAACATCTGGAAATGGAGGCTGTTCTTACTTCACGCTGCTCCGTGATGCTCTTTGTGGAGTCGGGCTTTGGGCTCTCTGAGTCGGGCTCTGGTTTGGATTGAGAGTCGTTGGAGCACAAAGGCTCTTTTTCTGCTGGATCCTTCCTCCTCACTGCACAGTTACACAGGAAAGTTCACATTTTACTGTCCTTTTTGAGGAGAAAACATGAAAGATGATGTTTTTAGGACAGAAAATCTCCTGCATGAGCATCTTTCCACAAATGTACTGACAGCTGTAGGTTTCTCTGTCTGGTCTGAGTTCAGTCAGCTTTAAAAAAAAAACAGGAAAACCTTCAGAATTACACAGACAATAACCTCATAGATCAGAATCTTAAGTCAAACAGCTATTGGCTGATGGTTTAAACGTGTTTTAGGCCTAAAGACTCTGGTCTGACTCTGGGGGGGTTAGAGCAGTGACACCAGACAGCTGATCCTGGGAAGTCTGATGACTTTTGTTCAAACACAAGAGTTTGAGCCCTTTGGTGGAGTTTGATTGGACTCAGACCTGAACTTCAGCAGTTCCATCAAAGCTGAAGCTAAGAGAGCCTTTTCCCTCTTCAAACTGCCCGATTAGAGCTTTATCCTGTCTGTGATCCTTTCCTCTGCCCTCCAAAATCAGAGTCCAGT